TTGCATTTCTATTTCCTTCACCAACTTAGGAAAGTTTTTTTTTTTTTTTCATTATTTTTTCATAGATTTCTAATTTCTTGCTCTTTCTCTTCTCCTTCTGGTACTCCTATGATGCTAAGGTTGTAACACTTGAAGTTGTCCCAGAGACTGTTTACCCTCTCCTCAGGTTTTTTTGGATTCTTTTTTATTCTTGTTGTTCTGATTGGTTGTTTTTTGCTTCCTTATGTTCCAAATTATTGACTCGATTCTCAAACTTTATCCACTCTACTTTTATTTCCCTGTAAATTGTTCTTTATTTCAATTAGGGTGTCCTTCCTTTCTGACTGCATCTTATGCTGTTAAGGTCCTCACTAAGTTCCTTGAGCATCTTTACAACCAGTGTTTTGAATTCTGAATCTAATAGATTGCTTATCTCCATTTCGTTTGGTTCTTTTTCTGGAGTTTTGATCTGTTCCTTATTTTAGGCTATGTTTCTTTGTCTCCTTATTTTGGCATCCTCCCTTGTTTGTTTCTATGTATTAGGTAGAGATGCTATGACTCTCTCTTAGTAGCATGGCCTAATGTAGTAGGTGTCCTGTAGGGTCCAGTGGCACAGCCTCCCCTATCACCCAAGCTGGGTACTTGAAGTGTGCCCCTTGAGTGGGCTGAGTACACCCTCCTCCTCTAGTTGAGCCTTAATTGCTGTTGGCAGGTCAATGGGAAGGATTTACCCAGGCGAGTCAGCTGCAAGGACTGGCTGTGACCACTGACAACCAACCTCGTTCCTCCATGGAGCATGAGCTGTGCAGGGGCAGGGTGGTGGTGCTCCAACGTGGTCTGTAGCTGCCCACTGGGTGCGCAGGTTCTGGAGGTTCCCAGGTGTTGCAGGCCCAGGTCAGTCCCCACCTGTGTTCTGCCCAGGGCCACTCTGCATAAGCTATAAAGCAACCTGAGGTGGCTTCTACTTGTACTGACCTAGGAGGTTCCCAGGTGAAGCCAAGCTGTGAATCTGGGCTGGTTGCTGCTAGTGCTGGGCCTGGGGCCACTTAGCTACATGGCCTTGGGAAATTACTTAATTTCTTTGAACTGTGTTTCCTCCTCTGTAAGCCAGGTCAGTAACATGCCCTGCCCCCCCCCCCCCCGCCCCAGGACTACTGTGGGGCTAAAGGGAGTTCACTCTCACATGGGATGCGCCAATGGACGCAGACCCTATTACTGCCGCTGTGGCCGTCTGCAGCAGCCCGGGTGCGATCTCTCCACCCAGCGGGCATGCAGCTGCGGGGCCCACAGACCTGAGGCAACAGAACCTGGGCATTCAGAAGGTCCTGGTTCTCTTCCTCCCCCTGAAGCTACGCATGCCCCCTAACAGCAGCTGCAGCAAAGAAATACCTCTACCCAGGGCCAGGCTGGAAGCAGGGCCTGGAGGTCTACCTCTGACCCCTGACTTAAGTGCTTAGGGACAGTTCAAAGCCCTGCAGGCAAGTAAAGGAGGAAGAGACATTTCAAGGACGGAGTCAGCCCCTAAGGAGGACATTTGTATACTGATCCTTCTCCCTGCAGACTGTGGGGAGACTCCCCAGGCTCCTGGCACAGTGCCCTGAGCCCACCCCACCACAGCCCTCACTCCCAGGCACACCCCCAGCCTGGGCACTGCCATTTCGACAACTCCTCATGATTGCCTCCCCTCCAGCACCCCACTCTCCAGCCCTCCATCCACACTTCGCAGCTCACCCCCTCGGAGGACCCTGCATCCAACAGGCTCCCCTGGCCCACAGGGGCCCTCGGGAAATACCGCCGAGGCTGAGTGAGTGTATCACACGCGCCTCACAAAGCTGACTCGTGCCAGGCACCAGGCTGCTGGGTGCTGGGGAGTCACACCAGGACGAACAAGACAGAGCCAGCCCCTACCCTCACGGGGTCTGTGGGCACCAGGAAGGCAGTCTACTGAGCGCAGGGAAGGGGTGCGCTGGGGACAAGCAGGAGTAGCGCCTGCTCCAGCATGAAGGCCGGGGAAGGGCAGGTAGAAGTGAGGCCAGCAAAGAAAGGCAAGTGTCCGAGGCAGAGGTAAGAGTCTGGGCAAAGGTCAGGAGCACGGGGCGGCCCGAGATGAGACCAGAAGGAGCGGCGAGGCCCCAGGAGGGGCCCTGCCAAGCCATGCTCATCAGCTGACCTGTCAAGGGAAGAGAAGCCCTTGAAGAGTTCACCAGGGGAGTGAGTGATCAGCTTCGCCCTCGAAGGTCGCTCTGGCTGCAGCCTGCAGAGTGTGGGAGGAGAGCGAGGCCGCAGGCAGGAGTCCCCGTGCAGGACAGCCACGGCCTGCAGAGCCGACAGCGCAGCGGAGAGGCGCGGGGCCCCTGGCTTTGGGCTGGAATGTGGCTGGGACGCAGCCTCCCTTGCAGTTAGCTGTGGGCGTGTGTGCATGCGTGTGTGCATGCGTGTGCACATGCGTGCAAGTTAAGTCCTGGCCAAAGGCATTTCCATGGAAGGCCTGGGTGTAAATTTCCAAAAAGGGTCCCTAAAAGAGAGAGCCCTTCTGCCTTTCTGCTGGCTGTGATGTGGCTGTGATGGCTGGATCCGGGGTGGCCCCCTGGGGACACACGGTGCTCCAGGGGCCGCAGGCCACACAGTGGTGGGGCAACAGGACAGGGGCCTGGGCCCCGGGGGACTCTGGGGAGCAGAGCTGCCACACCAGCCCTCTCTGCCATGGCAGTCACTCCGGAGGAAGCTAAAATCTCATCCTGTTTACCCACTGTCCTGCGGGGCTTCCTATCACCGAAGCCGAACCAAGCGTGCTGAGAGAGAAGAGGCGGACTCAGGATATCCTCGGAGGAGGACTGATGGACCCTGGCAGGGACCCAGACCTGGGGCTGAGGGAGGAATCCGACCGCTCCTGGGTGGCACAGCCGTGCACATGGGTGCTGAGGCCCCGTGCTGACTTGAGCGCGAGCGGGTTAGAGAGGAGAGCAGAGAACAGAGAGCAGAGCCGGGTGAGGAATGTCAGGAATTCCAAGAGGAGACAGGAGCTTAGCTGGAAGCCCCACCCAGCAAGGCTTCCGATCCCGTCTGAAAACAGGGGCACACGGCTGCACAGAAAGAGAGAGGCATCAGGAGCCAGATGAGCCAAGACTCTGCCTCCTCGCTGCTTCCTGTGCAGCCCTGCGTGAATCACGTCTCCTCCCTGAGCCCCGGCTTTCTCATCCATACAAGGAGACACTGCCTTCCCTGCTTCCCTCGGCGGGTGGCGGGAGGGGGTGCTAATGCACCGCGTGCGGAAGCGCTGCCAAGGGCAGGTGCCGCCCACCCGAGGGCAGCAGCAGTGCAGGTGTCGTCAGTGACAAACTGCAGGCGAAGGGCTGGGCCCCCTGAGATGAAAGTCTGCCTGCAGGGGGGCTCAAGCTTCTGAGACAAATGTGGAATCCTGTCAAGGGGTCTTTACAACTCACAGGACTTGGTGAGGATTTGCATGTGGAGGGTGTGAAGGCCCCAGGACAGGGCACCTCCAGAGTAGGGATGAGCGGCGCCCCCCAGGCGCGGACCCCCTGCCCTGGTCGGCTGTGCACCTGGAGCAGCCGGCCCCAGCTGCAGCCAGAGTCCGGACTAGCCCTGCTGTGTGAAAACCGCTGTCTGGACTGGCCACGGAACTGTGTTCTTTGCCCAGCTGCCCACTGTGGGTGCCTCTGCCTCAGTTTCCTCGTGGAGCCAGGCCCTGATTGCCGGAGCCTTGCTCTTCTCCGGGTGGCTGGACCTTGACCTCTGGCTGCCACTCTCTGAGACTCTTGCTGCCACGCCTCCTTAATCAGCATGAGCCCCAGAGGTTCCCTCCAGCCCCGGAGGCCCCTGCAGCCCAGGCAGAGCCGGCCACCTGCAGGCTGCCTCCTCCGCGCCCGCCACCCTGCAGGTCTGGAACAGCCCCATCCGCTCCACTCTGCAGACACACTCCTACTCATCCTTCCACACGCGGAGGAGCCCGCCAGGAAGGGGTTGCCCTCTGTGTCCCCACCGTTCCGTGGGCACCGCCTCCATCACAGCACCCCCCGCATGGCACTGCCTGGTTGGCAGGTCGCCCCACCCGAGGACCGCACGTTCCTTCAAAGCATAGAGCGTGTTTTGTCATCTCGCAGGGGCAGCCGGGCCTGGCCCAGGGCCCGGGACCCCAGAGACACCGGGGGTGCTCGGTGCCTGTCGACTGGGTGGATGGATGGAAGACGGGCAACCGGATGGACGAGTAAATGGAAGAGGGGCAATCGGTCCCAGCCCAACTCAACGCCAGCCTGCAGGGTCCCACGCTCCTCCGGACCGTGCATTTTGGGTCCTTGGACACGCCTCTGCTTTCCCCAACAGCCCTGCAGCTGGCTGCTGAGCCCCTCCCGCTAGCCCAGGGCCGTCAGACTCATTTTTACCGGGGGCCACATCAGCCTCGAGGTTGCCTTCAAAGGGCCGAATGTAACTTTAGGACTGTATAAATGTGACTGCTCCTCAACAGTTACGCGACAGCTCGGTGCTGCCACCAGGTAGAAACAAGGTACCAAGCCGGATAAAACAAGGTGGAAGGCCGGGTTCGGCCCGCGGGCCTTGTGTTTGCCACCTGTGTTGTAGCCCATGCCAAACCCAGCGTGCCCCAAGAAGTGACAGCTGTCTACCCCTTACAGGCTCTCCTGAACACAACCGGGCCAGCCCCAACGAGGTGGTCATGCCTTCAAAGACCCAGGGCAACAGGTGACCCGTGGGCCTTACACGACTGACCCTCCTCAGCTCCCCCACTCTCGCTCCTTCTCTCCCCATGTGGGTCAAACGACTCCAGGGCAGGGGACAGCCCAGTCTTCTATCCCCACACCCCTGCTCCCGGGACCCTGGTGGGCCCGAAGGAGCGGAGTCTAGGAAGCCCCTCCCTCCACTGAAGAGCAGTCCCCTCTCCCACCTTTCTCCTGACCCCTGGGATGAAGACCCAGAGCCAGGGGACCGCTAGTGTTGACCTGGGAGGAGTCAAGGAAAGGCGTGTGTCGTAGCCGTCCATCACCCACCGGAATCCGCTCTGTGCGTTGCTGGGGTCGACCAGGACGCACTCCCAGGCGCGACGGGAAGCGTTCTGGAACAGAATCAGCTGCCCTTCCTCCCAAGCCCGGCCCCTGGAGCTGTAGTCGGCCAATGCCACCTCCTTCACCCGGAACGGGTTTGTGAACAAGGTGGTGACGCCGCTGAGGGTGCTGACCAGGCGGCCCAGGAACTGCATCTTCCACGGGGCTGGTGGGGGCGCCCGCCGCCTTCCGCCTCAGCCTGGAAGAAAACAGGGTCTCTGGTCAGCAGGGCTCGGTCTCCCACGCCCACCTCACCAAGGGCAGTGGTTCCCTGCCCGGGCACCCGGAGGGCTCCCCACCAGCGCGGTTCCCCGGTCTGGGCCTAGAGGGACCTGAAAAGGAGGGGATACGCAGAAACGGCATGAGGGGGAGGTGGGAATGCCTAGTGGGAACCACAGAGCTGCCAGGGGCACAGGGGGCCAGGCCGCCCCGCTCCCAGGCCCTGCTTCCCAGCAGAGACTCCGTTTCCTCATGTGCAACATGGGGCTCCGCTGGTCAAAGGAACGCACTGCAGGCGGCCCTGCCCCGTGCCCAAGGAGGGGCTCCCGCTACACATGTAAGGTGGAGAGGCAACTCTGGGTACTGGAAGACCTTGGCACGGGTCATTTCAGTTCCCCAGGCAAAACCGGTGTCCCTTCTCTGCTAGAAACTGCAAGGGGACCGGGGGCATCTCCCACTCCCCCAGGGCAGGAACTGCAAGCATGTGACTAAAATCACTAACGCCCACGGCACCGGTTTCCCAGGTTGCTCTGAGGGACCCGGAATCAAGCTCCTCGGAAAGGAACATGAACGAAGGGACTCAAACTCATAAACCTGGGTTTGGGTGGAAAGTCTACGCTTCCTATTTGCAGGGTCTCAGTTTCTGCTACGGGAGTTATCCCCGGGCTGGACGGGTGTTAGATGTCTTGTCACATCCCAGGACCCCAGGAAGCACTCTGCCTTCCTAGGTCAGTGTCGCCAAAGCCAAGTGACAATTAGCTAGAGGCCACCCTCTGCCTCTGTGCCAGAACATCACCCGCCAAAGGAGCGTGTCACACACTGAGGACCGGACACGGACATGTGGGTGCTCTGGGGAGCGTGGGCATCTGAGTGGACACTGGTCACACCCTGGCCCACGTGATGAGGAGAGGATCGACTTTAGGATGAAAGGAACAAGGGACTGCAAGTCAACAATCATAATTACATCAGACGCGTTTACTGAGCACTTACTAGGTAGTGGGCCCTGAGCTAATAAGCACATCACAGCATTGTCTCACTTAATTCTCCAAGACACGCGAGGATGACGCACTGAGCGCGCAGTACAGCTCTGGAGCAAAACTGCGCTCAAATCCCGGCCTTGCCACTCGCCAGCTGTGTGCCCTCGGGCAAGTTACTCAACCTCTCTGAGGCTCAGTTTCCTCATCTGTTACACAGGGACCATAACAGTGCCTAACAGAACCTAGCAGATGGTTAATGTTCAAGAAACATTAGCCCTCTTTGCTTGGCTCCCTCTTACAGCCCAGCAAACCGAGGCCTACAGAAGTGTGACGGCAGAGCTTGGAAAAGGCTCGAGGCACCGCGCCGTCCCTTGCTCGCCTGATCAGTAGTGCCAGCAGACCCAGGCCTCGGGTCATCTTCTTCCAAAGGAGAACAGCACTCAGCTCTTGTGTAGTAGGACGAAATGAGAACATTTGCGAGAATGCTTTGACTGGGTCAAGTTCCTTCTTCTGCATGGAGAACTGGAAGGACTGGGAGCTGGGGTGCCAGCACCCCACCCCACAGCCAGGGAAGGGGAAGGGGGCCCCAAGAGCAGGTGTGGGAGTTGGTCCCAGGAGAAGAGTTCCCAAAATGGAGGACGAGCATGCACATCCATGTGCACTCTGACGACAGGGGCGGCTGTAAACTGTCAAACATTGACCCCGGGGATGCGGTGTGGTCGTTAACACCTGCGATGGGGACAGTGATGACAACTCAGGAAAAGCATGTGGCATCCTGAGTGGGACAGGCTCGGTGGCATGGCATCCATGGCGTGCCCCGTGCTGCTCCGGGGCCACAAGCATGGCCCGAGGAGCCGCTGCCTGCCTCCCCACTTCCGCCCCGCCCTGTCAGCTCCCAACCACGCAACGCCGGAAAGCCACGCTGTTCCACACCCGCCCGCCTGTCCACGCTGACTTGTCTGCCCGGCATGTCCTTCCTCGCCTGTGGCCCCCGCCAGTCTGTGCAGTTCCCAACGCTGCTCACGCCAAACCCTCACAGAGCACCCCCGTCTGCGCTCCGGCCCTGTTCCAACTGCTCACACGTGTTACCCATTCCGCCCGCACCCGCCCTATGCCGCTGTTACCCTCGCTGGACACGTGAGAACATCCAGGGACAGAGAGGCAAAGCAACACGCCCGGTCACACAGTCAGCGGGTGGAAGAGGGGGGACTGGGGCCCAGGGGTCTGGCTCTGGAGTCGGAGCTTGTTAAAGGCGGGTCTGCGCCTCTGCACACTCACCCTGGCACCACACCTGGCCCACAGGACGCTTGTTAAAACATAGTTTACGTAATTAAACTGAGAAGTATGTACAGTACAAAAAAAAAGAGAGAGACAGACAGTGATAAAAAAACATACCAAAATACTAAAAGTAGATAAGAGTGTTGGGTTTATGGGCAATTTTTTAAAAAGATTTATTTATTTACTTTTAGAAGGGGGAAGGGAAGGAGAAAGAGAGGGAGAGAAACATCAGCGTTTGGCTGCCTCTCGCGTGCCCCGGGCCAGGGACCTGGCCCGCAACCCAGGCATGGGCCCTAGACTGGGAATCGAACCAGTGACCCTTTGATTCACAGGCCAGCACTTAGACCACTGAGCCACACCAGCCAGGGTGGCAATTTTTTGTCCTTTTCCCTGTTTCCCAAAGGTATAGAAAGTGTTGTATTTGTTTAAAGAAAGTAGCAGTGCAGGCTGAGCCCCTGGGGTCTGGGCCGGGGAGACGGCGGGGGGCACGGAGGCCTGGCCCGGAGAGGCAGCGCGGAGGGGCCCCAGAGGGCAGCGCGGCTGTGCCGGGGGAGGGGCCCACTGGAGGGGGGAGTCAGCGGCACGCAGGGCCAGGGAGCCCACTCGCGTGTTGGGTGGAGAGCCACCCCGGGGGTCCAGCGGGAGGGAGGGAAGACACCCGCCCCAGAGGAGGCACACCCTCCGGGGTCCGGGGCCGGCGCGGGGGTGCCTCCCACACACCAACAGCAGCCTGGCCGCTGCAAAGACACAGCTGGCTCTCTTCCCGCCTCCCCGGCCAGGCCAGAGGACGAAATGACACAATGCAGGGAAAGTGTCCAGGGTGCTCTGGGCACACAAACAGTGGCCATTGTTATCACGAGGTGGAGGAAAGGAAATGAGAACCACGGGGCCACATCCTGGAACAATCCTGACAGGCCAACCTGGAAAGCGGCAGGCAGGGAGCAGACAGCGCATGCGTGGTTTCCGTCCCTCTGCCCGCCCCCGACCTCTGACCTCGGAGCCCGGGGTTTTTTCCAGCACAGCTGCAGGGGAGGACACGGGCTGGGGAGCCAGCTGGCTGCTGTTTGAACCTGCGAGGTCCCTTCCAGCTGACTCCTTCCCTGCACGGCCCTGCCACTCTCACAGCTGCTTGCCCTTTCACCTCCCCATGGCGTCAAAACTTGCTTCCACTCACTGATAGCCGTTCCCTACCCTCACCTGGGCTTGTTCCCTGCACCTAAGTGACACCAGGGTCATCGGACAGGGACCACGTGCCGCTGGGCACCCGACACTGCCTCAAGCAGCCTCTCAAATGCCACAAGCAGTAAGACACGAACCCAAGAGCCTACGTGGTGCCGGTGACGGTGACAGATCTGACTCCGCACCAGGCCTTCTCCAGGCCGTCAGTTCCGTGTCCCCTTAAGCGTGGGTATTTTTGGCCGGTTCTCCTTGGCATTGCTCCCTGACCCCATCAGAGGCCCAGCTTGCTTGCCTGGTTCCTTCAGGGAGGAGCTACAGTGGCCGGGGGGTGGGAGGCGCCCCTGGGGGGCAGTGAGGCAGAAGGACGGGCCATGGTGTCCCCGTTTCAGAGATGAAGAAGCTGACGCCCAGAGAGGCCTTAAACGGTGGGTGCTCAGGGAGCAGTTTTAAAAGGACGTGTTGCGCCCTGGCTGGTGTGGCTCAGTGGATTGAGTGCCGGCCTGTGAACCGAAGGGGTCACCGGTTCGATTCCCAGTCAGGACACATGCCTGGGTTGCAGGCCAGGTCCCAGGTTGGGAGCACGTAAGAGGCAACCACACACTGATGTTTCTCTCCCTCTCTTCCCCTCTCTCTAAAAATAAAAATATTTTTTAAAAAACAAGGACATGTTAATGTCCACCCCTGCCCCCCCAAAACAACAACAAACGACTGGGACCAGAGGGCAACTGGAACGAACGATCTTGGGTGAATGCCCTGCCAAGTGCCTAGCTGGGCTCATGATAAAATGACTAGCCACAGGGGACTCAGGCCCAGTTCTTGTCTTAAAAAGCGTGGGAAGGCATGGGGACAGGAGCCCGCGTGACCCATCTGGGCCCAGGTGGCACAGAGGAGGGGCTGCAGGCACTGCTGCTGTGGACACGAAGGTCAGCATGAAACGTGGTCGCCATGGAGCCATCGCCCAGCATCCATGATGCCCGCCCCCCCGCAGAGTCCCCTTGTTCATGACAAGGAGACCAGTGCGGCAAGTGTAGCAGAGGATGGGGAGCTCGTGGGTTGGTTTGGGGGGCTGGGTAGGGAGAACTCAGCCCCCAGGTATCTGGTCCCTCCTCAGCCACGAATTCCCTGAAGGACTTGGACACATCTCAGGCGACAGAGGAAGTGCAAAGCTACCAGGTGTGGAAACGGCTCTCCCGGAGTGCAAGGGCCCACTTCCCGGCCTGTCCTTCGAGGCCCAGCTGCCCCCTGGGAGCACTCAGGGCACTAGATCCGCCCCTCCTGCTAGATCCGACACTCTCCCTCCCAGCTCACACCATCGCCCGTTCTGTACATGCGCACCACGAGGGCCGGGTCCACCCCACCCACCTTACAACCCCCCACGCAAATCAGACTCCCCGTCCAGTGGCTCCCCATCACCTTCCAGAGGAAGGATGTGAGCATCCCATCCCGGCAGCCCTCCGCCTGCACCGCCACTGCAGCCACACTGCAGCACCAACACCTCCGGGCGCGTGCCACGCTCGGGCCTCAGTGTCCCTTCCCGCCCTCTCTCCCTCTCCTCACCCCAGCTGTCTCCCCTGTCTCAGAGGATGCTCTCAATAAAGGACTGTTAGACCAATGCATGACCCCTTCTTGTCCTTCAAGACTCGGCTCACCTGCCACCTCCTTTAAGAACCACGCCCTGTGTCTCCCCTGCTCTCAGCCCCCCTTGTCTATGCTCCTCCCTCTGTCCAGTGCACACCCCCACTGCAGCCCTTGTCCTGGGTTTGGGCTGCCCGCCTGCCCCCTTTTATTTACCCAAGCACCTAGCTAGTAGCAGCAGCTATTTAACAAATGTTTGGTGAGTGAATGAGTGAGAACTAGTCAGTGAGCCCCCTGCACCCCCTCCCCCTCCTCTCCCATCCCTTGGAGGTGGTAACAGACCACACACCCTATTCCACACCCACTCTGAGCTGCGCCACCACAGCAGAAAGGCTCAGGGGGTGAGCCTTTCCATCCTGCGTCAGGGAAACCTTCATCAGGCTCCTGCTGGGCGCCCGGAGTGGCTTTGGTCTGGGAAGTTCAGCTTCCTCTGCCGCCAGCTGAGTTTACTCATACTCCAAGCGGGAAACTCTCGAAGCCCTCTGCTTCCTACTTGAAGGAGCCTGGCCAGAGGGGCAGGGCGGCTGCCCGGGCGCTGCGTGACAGGATCCACAGGCAGCCAGGCCGGGAGGCTGACCTCACAGGCCCGGCCACGTGGGGACTCTGGGCGCACACACAGAGCTGCTGGAGCTGGGGACCTGGCTTCAAGAGCCCTGGCTGCTTACGACAGGATGTCCTGTGATTGGAACAGCGGGCACAGGACAGCCACCCCTCCCGTGCCACCGGTGTCTCCCCCGGGCCGCTGCCCTGGCAGACGAGCCAAGAACACGGGGTCTGGTCAGGGCGCCGAGCTCAGCTGACCACAGCAGGCTTCCTTCCTGTACGTCTCAGCACACAGCACGTGAGCGCACCTGCGGCCCAGCATGCTTCACGGCTGGCAGGGTTTTCACGTCTGTTAGCCGACTCGGGGCTCACAGATGCCCATCAAAGAGGAAAAGTGCAATTGTGGGGAACACAGGAACCCGAGGCCCAGGGAGAGGAGATGGGAGGTGTCGCCTGACCAATGGACACATGCCTCCTTCCTCAGACTCCTGGAGAGCACTAGGCAGAGGGCCTGCACACAGTAGGTGTTCCATTAGTGCGTGACAAAAGCCTGGGTGAAGGGAGGGGGCGAGTCAAATGGCACTGCCACCCGGCACCTGAGCCTCTGGACCTCCAAGGCCGCCTCCAAAACAGATGTCCCTCCAAATGTTCACTCTGACCCCAGCTCGTCCCTAACTCTTTCCTAATCGAGTGACAAGTGGGAAGGAGCTCGCTCCCGTCACCTCACACCCCAAGGACACTGCTACGTTCACCCAGCACCCACTGAGCGCCACGCGCCTCACCAAGATCTTTAGGTGACTAACCTATTTAACCCTGAAAACACTCACAAAAGAAGGCACGTTACACCCAGGAAACGGGCACAGGAGATTGTGTAACCTGCCAGACCCGAGCCCCGTTAGCTGGAGCCCAGGACCCCAGCCGTGCCCCGCAGACGGCCGCCAGGAACAGAAAGCCTGGACAGGAAAGGGCTGCGCGAGGCTTGGTTTTCAGACTCTTCCCTCCGCAAGCTGAGGCCCTCACCTCACGGCTGCACTGCCATCCATACGAGGCAGAGCCAAATGCTCTTTCAAAGGCAGAAAAGGTGCCTCATGCATTCTGCCCAGCTGGACCTCGGCTGGAAGCAAAGTGCCCTCGACCACACCAACGTGTAGCTGGAGCTCCTGAGGACAGGGAACGGACATAGCTCCAAGGAACTCGGGGCTGGTGGCGTGCTACGGGTGGCCCATTGTATGGCTCACTGTACGAATATTTACTGCAGACCTGTTATATGGCAGGCATTGTTCCGACTGCCGAGAAGACACTAATGAACGAAACAGACAAAATCCCTGCCCTCCCAGGACTTCCATTTTAGAGAAGGTTATACATGATGAAGAGAAAGAGACAAAAAAAAATACCCGTAGGTTCAGATGCTGATTAGTAGACATTAATTTAACAGGTCACCCCGGCTGGACGCGGAGTACGTAAGCGTCAGATAAAAGCTTTGGCCTGAACAACGGAAAGAATACTGCGCTCTCTTAAAGACGGGAGAGTGAGGGGTGGGGGGAAACAGGTCTGGGATGAGGGTGGGGAAGGATAACAGAGTAAATATTGAAATGCCTAAGTGTTAAGTGGGCAACTAGCTCTGTGGGTCTGTGTTTCAGGGGAAAGGTCCGGGCGGGACTGGAGGTAAAAATCTGGGAGCCGTCAGGGGAGAGACGGTGCTTGGAGTTACCAGGCCGGATGAGAACACCAAAAGAATGAGGACGGACAACAAAGGAGAAGAGGCGTTTAAGGCATGAGCCTATTAAAGTGTTCTCCAGGGAGCCACCCTCCACAAAGCGAAGCTTGTAACACAAGGCATCTCTCCCTCCGAGCGGCAATGGGCACACGCACATGCGTGCACACACACACACATTTAAAGTCCTCCTTCCTCTGTGGCTGATGTCATTCTGCTGAGTGAGAAGGAAATCCCCTTCAGGGGCACGGACATCTCACAAGACAGTAAGCCATGGACGGAGAAAAGGGGGCCCGGGTGACAGCAGTGACCCTTACGCAGCCGGGCAGTCACACCGGCTCTGGTGTCGGGAAGGACTGTACTCAGGTCCCGGCTCCGACCCACCTCAACCGGTGCGACTGCAGGCTGCTCGCCTGCCCCCTCTCCCCCTTGTGCTAAATGGGAACAGACTGGCTCCACGAAAGGCAACATAGACCAGAGTGAACAGTCCGATACCACCTGTTAAACAGATGAGGACTGAGGGACGAACGGATGGATGGCAAGGACTACTTAGAAGAGCCCGACAGAGAGAATGATCAATCAGCGCTGCCCAACACTAAGTGAAAGACTAAACAAAGTACCTTCTACTTGTCTTTCCCCTTATTTTTTTTTTTTTTCATTTAATTCCTTTCCCTTTCTGTCTATGGCTATCCTGTTCACAAAGCTTTGCCTTCTGTATTACCTCCAAGTCTGAACCTCCCAGCAACCTTAGGATGGCAGGAGATACAATCCCCACCGTCACAGACGGAGAAACTGAGACTTCAGTGAAAAATGGCCACAGGACCCCAGTCAACAGTTTGAGACACAGGCACAGGGACACAAAGCACTGTGTTCAGCCCAAGGGTGGGGCATGTGTGTTGCCAAACCAAACCTGCCTAACATCCTGTTGGGTGGGTAAGAGCAGGTGAGGGAAAAATCCAGTTTAGGGGAAGTGAAGGTATCTGTTTGATAATCCATTAAAAAAAAAAAAAGCCCACAGATCCCTGAGCCCCGTGCCCTCCCTTTCCCACAGCCAGGGGCCTGCGTGTCCAGGTCACATGGTCACATGGGAGGGTCACACGCACCCGGTCACCCGCTTCCAGGTCATCTGCAGGAGCAGGAGGTGGGCAGGAGATGGGGGCGGGGGGCGAGCTGGGGGCTGGGGCACTCTGGGTGGGGTGAGGAGGCTGTGAGGAAGGAGGGGGTACAAGGTCAGGGTGGGGGGCAAGCACATGAAATCCGGAGGCGCAGGACCCACAATCGGCAGGGAGAAGCAGAGAATTCGAAATGGGGAAAGTAAAATGGAGACCAGGAGGGGCAATGAGGGGAAGTGGGGCTCAAATGGGAATACACACAGGCGGGAAACTCGGGAGCGCCCCGAAAGGCGCCGGAAAATAACAGGGGGTAATGAGAGGGGCCAGAGAGCTGGGGCCACGGAGAGGCACCGAGAGGTGGGGAAGGGAGGAGGGGCTGGCTCGGGGAGTTGGGGACGGCCGGAGGAGAGACACAGGGCAGACTGGGGTCCAACTGCGTTGAGGCTGGGGTCCCTGGGGGACGAGAGCGGTCGCGGGATGGGAGTGGGGGACGCCGGTGGACCAAAGGGAGGAACCTGGGGTCACACGGGTTACACATGGGTCAATGGAAGACATGCCTCGGAATCGGCGACCACGGGGAGGGTGCGAAGTGACACCATGAAGTCTGGGGCGCTGAGAAGATCTGAGAAGCGCCCCCCAGGCCCCGCCTCCCCTGCCCCGTCACTCACCTCGCCTTACTCAGCACTTCTACTTCCTTCCAGTTCGGCAAACAGGCCCTGGGTCACACAGCCCCCGCCCTCCGCCAATCAGCGAAGGCCGCGCCTCCCCAGCGGCTGCGGCCCCGCCCCCGCGGTGCGAGCGCTGCGCGCGGGGAAGGCGGGCACGGGGCGCCGCCATCTTTTGTAACTGCCCAATGGGAGGGGTTCCCATCTCCGAGGGAGGCTGGGCTGTGAGTTGCGGCCAATCCTCGCCGGTGGGGCGCGGCCCTGTTTGTGCTGGGCGGAAGAGTCTCGTGAGAGCCCGTTGGCAGACATGTTGGTGAGGGGCGCGAACCTTGCCCTGCTCCGCCCTGCGCATCCTGGAAAGGTCCGAGGCCTGAAGTCCGGACCTAGTGTTAGTGGCGGTTAATAAAAAGAAAACTAAAACCAACAGAGACATAGGGCACAACAGGGAGGAACCTGCCTTGATTTGCTGGGAACCCCCGCCCCCCAAAGCCATGGTTGCTAGATTTAACAAATAAAAATAGGGATGCCCAGTTAAATTTGAATTTCAGCTGAACAACCAAAAATTTTAAGTATAGTTAGGTTTAAAAAAACCCTCATTATCAGGCATTCCTACTCCAAGCCAGTAGTAGGAAGTACCTTAGCACTTTTGGGAGAAACTTGGGCAAAAGACTTGATCTCTGTGAGCTCAGCTGAGAAGTGAGCACAGTATTACCTTACAGGGTGGTTGTGACGCCGAGAGAGAGATTAGCCCCCAGGACTCTACGCTGGATTTCAATAAACGGCAGTTGTTATGATTGGTAACTATGTTGAGAATGAGGTATGCAGGAAAGAAAGAAGGGCGCTGGGTTTTAGTCACAGATCTGCTTCTGACAGAGGCGATCCGGACCCCTCTGCCACCCACCAAGCTTGATTGGACAACTTTTAATCCCCTAACGATCCCCGGATCGGAGGTCTAGATGAATTCTCCGAACTGCTCTTTGTCCACGTGGGAAACGGAGTTGCTGTTGTCACTCCTACAGGAAGAAGGGAGTTTGGTCCTCCGTCTGCCCAAGGATATTAGTGCCCAGACTGCGGGCAGCCAGTACAGCTGCAGCAAGGTTTAGTTAAGAATCTGGACAGGTGATACACTAACCATAGTAACTAATATCAGTACAGAGTTTTACCAGTTACAAAGTAACTAGACTTTACATCCATCATTGTTGGGTTGAATTACTCATGTTGGCATTTTCGCAGATGTTGATGTAAGAAACATTCAAACCTGTAGATAAATTTTATTTGAGTTTATTTGAGCCAAACTGAGGACATATTCCAGGAAGCAAGATCTCAAATGCTCCAGAGAATAACCCTTTTGCAGGTTTTTGTATGCATTTGAAATTAAGGAAGATTAAAGAAAGCAAGGTGGGGATTTGGATTACAGGATTCTTGAACAAGACCATGTGCTCTCTTGAGGATTAATACCCCCCCGTGAGGGTTAGTGCTTCTGGTATTTCAGAGGTGTGTTAACCTAGATGCACAAGAACAATGAACAAGGCTGGCTTAAAACCCTTTCACTAAAGAAGTTACAGGCCTGGGTGATGACTACCTGCCCAGTTACAAATTTGTGATCCTGTCACCCTGTGAGGTTACCTTCCGTAGAACCCCTTTTCTTCACCTTCACAGATGCAGAAACTGTTCCCTTAAACTAAATAAAATTTTGCTCGAGAGTTTCAGCTTGGCGTGGAGAGAATGGGATGAAGACTCACAATTCTCAGTGAAAATATCTTACCCTACGCATCCATCGCAAGTGGAATTAGGGCGATGGTTATCAGGGCGTTTGCAGGAGGCCAGGCATACCAGCGATCAGACTGGAGAAAATGCGTAGGTTTGACAGAATGAGTCCCATTCTTCAGCACACATCCACCTTTGTGTTCGCGATGAATCTGCAATGCAAGTTTATCAAGACAGACACACAACTGAATCTGAAATGCAAAACAGGCGGAGGGAGACCACATCGCTCTTCGGGCACACTCCAAGATGCATGGCAGAAATTAATCAAAGAGAATCTCAGGACCTAATTGAGTCGAGTGCCCCTCCCCTAGGTATATCTGGTGAAAGCTGTTAAATGAGTAGATAAAGCAAGAGATGAAGTATAGTGGTTATCAGGTAGCATGGAATAAATAAGCCACAGCAGGGAAGGGGCAAGTGAGCACAGGGGAATACATTCTGTAGCGCTTCTACTGGATTTTCCACCGCAGGAGTTCAAAGTCAACGAGCTTCTCTTGAGGGGCTATTCGAGTTCCTGCAGCTACACATGTCCTGGAGCAAGGTGTCTGCTTTCTAGGAACTCAGGGTCCAGAGGGTCAGCCTAAACCAAGTCCCCTCCTGTAACAGTGGGGAGGTGTAACCCACCCCACCATTCTCTTGACATTGTTTCTGTAAATGCTTGCTAATATGTAGCCTGTGGATAAGCAGCCTGTTTGTATAAGAATCCTAGGAACTCACTTCAAAAGATACAAACTCTGACCTTCAGGCATCCCCAGGCCTGGAAGACTTGCTGACCTTCAGCCTCGGAGCCAGAGTGACGTAAAGCCAGGATAAGTAAACCAGGATGACGCACACAGGCCCATCATTTGCCTTATCGGAATGGACTGTGCTCGTCTGCTCCTGGAGAACTTTTCAACCCCCTCCCTTGATTTCTTTGTTCTGCTTCCCGTCTCCCTCCTCATAAAATTCTCTGCCTGCCCTGAGGTGCTGAAATGGGCTTTGTGACTAGAGTCCCCCATCTCCCCAGGGAGGTGGGCTTTGAGACAGGAGTCCCCCATCTTTCCGGTGGCCAGCACCTGAAAATAAACCACTTTCCTTACACCCACACCTGTCTCTCGAATTTGGCTTTCACCAGGGCAGGCAGCCGGCCCCGCGTTTGGTTACACTCCCTCAAGGAGGGAGACGGAAATGTAACCCACATGCTAACAGGACAATTTCCCACTCTTACCCTGTTTGATCCTCACAACCACCCTGAGAAGTGCTAATATCACCCCCACTTTGTAGATGAGGAGACCAAGGTTCCGTAAGGGGAAATGACCCCCAGAACCCTATGTCAATTAGAGGCAGACCCAGAATCAGGATCTGCCTTGTCGTCCCTTCCCCTAAACCGTGGAAGTCCGGCGATGTTCTCGGCGTTGATGAGCCGCCGTGAACAAAATAGACGAAGGTCTCTGCGCGTGCGCGGTGCTTGCAGTCTGGCGGGGCAGGACCGTGATAAACAAGATAGAGAAGTCGAACACACGGGGTGTTTTGCTGAAGTCTGCAGGTGAAATGTTGGGATGTCGGCATCTTTCTTTCAAAAACAACCTTGAGTGTTGAACCTGGGGTCGTGTGTGTGAGTGCCGTTGCACTAGTCCTTCCGTATCTGTGATTGAACATTTTTATAATTAAAAAGTTAATTATCAACTTTTTATAAGTTTATAAATACAGTGTGCTGGATATACGCCCTACAGTGAACGCAGGGTGGCCGAGGAGGGCCTCGCTGAGAAGGGCGACGTTTCAATAAAGACCTGAGTGGTCATTTCGGTGGGGGGAGGGGAGGGGCGGTACAAGGGGGGATAAATGGCAATGGGAACAAACACAATGAAAAAAACTGGACTGAAGAAAGACCTGAGGCTGATGAGAGGGCGAGCCTCGCGATGACCCCGGGGAGAGTGTCCCCCGTCGGGGGAGCACCGGGAGCAAAGGCCCTGAGGCGGCCCCGTCTTGCGAGTCTCGGGAGAAGCAAGGACGCGAGTGTTCCTGGAGAGGAGAGAGCAGAGGCAGAGCAGGCAACGAAGCCGAAGGGCTGTGGGGGCCTGTGCAGCTCTGTGGACTGTCGCAAAGGTTGCACCTTCCCTGGGTCGGACAAAGGGGCCTATGGAGGCTTCCGAGCGGAGGAGTGGCCTGATGGGACGTACGTTTTGACGGATCCGTTACAGAACAGACTGTAGGGGCAAGGCGGAGGCTGGGAGGCCAGGGAGGAGGCTAAGGCAGACACCCGAGTGGGAGACGACAGTGTGACTGTTGTGCCATGGGATTGTCACAATGGCGGCGTGTGGCAGAGGGGGTCTGGGTCACGACAAAACGTGCAGGGCGGAGAGGGCGCTGCGAGGAGGCATCGCTGCACTCCGCCCTGAGGGACGTGTTCTGAGACGACGCGGAGCAGGGTGGGTGGACTCTCCCGCCTGCCACCTGCCCCGTAAACAAAGTGGGACTGGAGTGCAGCCACCCATTTGTTTGCACACGGTGGTACTGGCAGCAGTGTTGAGTCATCGTGACAGAGGCCATATGGTCCTCAAAGTCGTTACTATTTCTATCTGGCCCTTTAGATAAAAAAAAAAAAATTACCAACCCCTACTCCTGTTCTTAAGTTAGGTTTGAAAGAAAGGTTGAATAGGAGTTTGCCAGCTGGGTTAGGAGAGCAAGAACATTCCAGCGGGAAAGAACCGTATGGCCACGAAGAGGTCGTGCGGATTGTTGGGGAGCGGCAGGAGGCTGGGCCCTGCTGGCACCTGGTATGTGAGCGGGTGAGCCGGTGGGTGCGCCTCAGGGGCCAGGCTCGAAGGGTCTCCAGGGCCAGGCTGTGGGTGAGGACCTGGCCCTGCAGGCAGTGGGGCCCCAGAAGGGTTACAGGCAGGAAAGTGACGTGGAAAAAAATCCCCTCTGCGGCTGTGAGAGAGGTCACCGAAGGGCACAGAGGTCATGAGGCAGCTGTGTGAATCCACGAATGATGTGGCTTCTGCCTGGATGCAGGGCCCGTGGGTCTCGTGCCCTCCTCAGGAAGGAAATGAGCGCCAGTGACCTTGAGCTGCGAGGCAGCAGCCACGACTTCCCAGCCCAGGGGCAGGGGAAGCCAGTCCTGACCAGCAAAGACGGGATTTCCCCAGCCCGGGGCTCCCAGGACAGACTGTGGCCGGAGGAGAGGCTGGTGCTCAGGACCAGGGGGCCTGGGTGGTTTTGCCAGCAGCTGGCCTGAAGCTGGGGCCTGAAGCTGGGGCCTGGGGGATGGTGAGGGTGTGGGCAGGCAGAGTGGATGGTATTTTGGGGGCGCGGGCCAGCCTC